ATCACATCTTTTAATATTTTTAGTTGCATTATCATTTCATTCATGATATTTAGGTAATTGTTAATACAAAAAAAAAAAAATGATACTTGGGTAATTAGATCAAATTTATCATAATTTCTTCTTATTTCTCTAGAAATTAAGAAGTATGAATTAATGGAAGGAGTTATCAATAGAAAAATTAATTAAAGATAATAAGTATAATATTTAAAAATAATAATAAAAAATAAAACAAACGGATCAACCTGTCAACCCGTGGATTGACCTTAACCCGATCTGTGATCCGTACAGGTTGATAATACGGGTTATCTACAGATTGCAGGTTGAGATATGTAAACCCTAATTCATTTTTTACGAGTTGGGTTAACATTAGGTTGATAGGTCGGATGGATTTTTGTTAGGTCTACCGGTGCTCTCCTTTTTGGCAGTCTTAGAGCTTGTTGATTTGGGTCGTGAAAGTTTTTGCTTTTTGAGTACAGTTATAAATGATAAATTTAAATTTTTATTAAAGAAAAATTTTAAAAATTATTTTTAAATATAAGAAAAATGAATGAAAAAAGAATAAAAAGAAAGTTTATGAAAAATTTAAATTTAAAACTTTTGAATTTTTACTATTTGAGATTTTTTTAAAATTAAAAAAAATTTAAAAATATAAATTTTTTTTTAAAATATTTAAATTTATAAAATATAAATAATATCAAAAAGTTAAAACTCCCAAGAGCTCACTCAAACATGCCTTAATTGCTTTATGCAATATTACCACCATGGAAATTGACACTCCTTACCACTATAACCCAAACAGCATCAGGATTTGGCAATGTCAAGAAACAACAACCGAGGTACATAACACATGTATAGCTAGATTAATAAAAATTCTAGTTGCAACATCACGTTTTATAAATGAAGTACATATATCAAGTTCAAATATATTCATCAAGAACTCCACCAAGCGGTTCGATGACCGTGCGCATTATTGACACAGATGGACTGTTCATCCGGTCTGGAGATTGAGTTCCCAATTACTAACATTTAATAATATTAA